CAGGAATGAATTGTCTGACTCCCATTTCGAAGGAACTTAATGTAGGTGCCTTTGGGAGAGCCTTGTTTTCTGTGTCCGTAAGGGATCCCAGGAGCATCTCCGTAAGAGGGTGAGCTTGCTGACCAGCCTCACAGTGCCTGTGTTCCCAGACAGTATCGCGCACGTCACCTTTAAAGTGCTATCGCGTTCTTTGGGACCAAGGCAATTGCAGAAAGGAAAGCTGCAGTTTTGCCGATGGGCTTTGTGGATGCGGCCCCTTACGATGCAGTGGAGCAGATGCGCTGGGTAGAACTCCCTGAAGGGGAACTAAAGGGAAAAGGCCAAGAAGAACATTGACCCGATGAGTCCCTGAGATTAAAAGGAGCAGGTTGTGAGTTCAAGGCATGAATCTTCCATCCAGGGAAATAGCTCACCAAAGGTTTCTCCAGGCACTTGTAACACAGACCTCTTTTATTGGGTTGTTTTTTTTTTTTTGGTGGTGGCTTCTATTTAATTTAAACAACCCTCATGTTGTTTAGGAAAATCCAGTGAGTTTATAAATCCTTTGACCAACGCTGTGTTTAGAGAAACTTTGTGCAAAGGACAGAGTGGACAGAGCATTTCCACCTGGCCGGCACTGACATCTAACAGGACCTGAGCAACACCAGCACAGTTCGAGCGTCGGTCCCTCCCCGTGCACCTCTGGGTGCCGCCAGGTGCCACGGGAGCTGCTGGCAGGTCCGAGCAGCTTGGCGATGCCGACCGGCTCCAGTGAGACCTTACCCTCTCCTTGTTGCCTTAACTGCTCAGATAAAACCCTTCTCAGCCTTATTTCTTCCCCCCCTTGCAATTGTCACCAGCCTTGAACACGCACTCCTCTCTGCCAAGTGCACTCATTCCTTAGCCTGGCAAGAGAGAGAGTTTGCAGCTGCCTGATGTGTTTTTTTTTAATATAAATGCTTCCTTTTGTGTTGGGAAATACATCCCAGAAGTCCGACCCTTTGCCTCTCGGACGGCTCTGGCCGACCACAGCTTCTCCCGCTACGGAGCGATACAGCAGAAGGGAAAAATTCCGGCTTTTCCCATGCGTTGGCTGGGTGGGGAGTGTTTGGATCTGATTTTGCCAGCTCCCTGGTAATCTTGCAATCAGAAGTGGCTGTGAGTTAATGAGAGAGGCAGGAGGTGCTTCTAATTAGAATGGAAAATCATCTCAGTCACAGAGAACTGCCTTGAGCAAGCTGTGACAGCAAGGGAATACGTGTAAAATGGGGGGGGGGGTTATCTTCCTGGGAGCTTAGTGTCTCTTTTCGTGTAATTTGGCGAGTCAGGGTGTTGTCTGATGGTAAAGTGAAGCCCTGACAGCACCTGCTTAGCTAGGCAGTGTGCAAGCAGATGCAGGTTATGGCTCTGCAACAGTGTCCTGATGGGGAAAGATACCCAGCAAGCAGCGTAATTACCCCGAAATAGCAAGGGAAATTGCTTTGCCGGGAGAGCCAGTTCCCACACCTGCATTGCTGCACTCGTGCCTTGTGCCGCGGAGTCAGTCCACGAGTTTGCGTGGTTTTCTTTCCTTAGCTCTGTCCCTCCGCCAAAGGCCACGTGTGTTTCTACTGTCGAGGTTTGTTGTCTTCCACCCGTGCTGGTCCGCTGCCTCCTCTCTTCCAGCTGTGGCACCTGTTGAATAAAAACTTGGTCTCCCGTGGAAGAGCTGCGACTGCCTGTGGAGTCCCAGAGCAGTTTCTTTATTGCCAGTATTTCTTTACCCCTTTCTGCTTTCTCTGTGGCAGAAAGCAGAGAGCGGGGAGGAAGGGAGCCTCAGATTATCGGAGGGGGTTTGGACCACTTCCTACTGCAGGGAGACCTTTGTGTTGCAGTAAATGTTTAATAACAGTATTGTTTTGGCCGTAAGATCGAGCCAATTAATGCCCTTAATGTATGCACGCTGCCCTGCAGTAATGAGACGCAAGTTAAGAGCATCTCGTACAGCATGCCTTAACATCATAGTATTGAACAATACCACCACAACCCACTGACAGATGGTAACTCGGTGGAAAGTCTGACCAACTCTCACCGTTCCGAGTAAACCAAAGTTGTGCCACGTACCATGTTTCCAGGAAAGCACATTAAACGTGACACACCAGCTTAGAGGCAATGGGTTGAGCTTTGAGGCATCACAAATTGAAGACAAGGAAAGAATTCTTTCATTGACTACTTCTACCTGCAAATCCTTGCTCCTTCCTGGCTCATCCCATGACTTGAGGCAAGGGTTGTCCTAGAGCCTGGGGTATGGAAAATTTGCTTGGACGTGGTCACTGGTTAGGTAGACCAGTTTTGTGTATACTTCCATTTGAGCGATACGCTCTTTTCCCAAAACATAAATGTACTTGGGAATTAGAGCTGCAAAACCTAACAGAGTATAGAATAAGTAGTTTTATGTGCTGTGAAAGCTGAAAACTTGGGCGGCTGTCTTCCCCCTATGTTTTTCCCCTTTCCCTGTTACACTACACACACAGAGATGGAACAATGTGTTATTATTCTCACCTAGAACTGTACCCCAATAAAGCTTTTTTATTTTTATCATCTCTGGACTGGACAGGTATATATATATTTATTTTTTTTTCCTTTCTGAGAAATAAAAGGTTTTCAAGGAAGCAATATCGATATCTTTGAAAAAGTACCTAAAATAGAGTTGTCAGTAGGAGAAAGTACCTTTAGGAAAACAATCAAAACCTCTTCCTTCTTCTTTCAAGCCCCCCCTTCAGCTTCTTCGAGGGTTTTTGAAAGCCAGTGAGGGGAAATGCAGCTCCTTTTAATTACAGAGAGGATGTGGGCTGAAAAACAAGCAGGTGATGGAGTTTGGGCTGACCAGACCACACACCGAGTGACCGTGTGCTGGTGTGTATCCAGATATGTGTCCCTGAAGAGAGGTTAGGAAATAATATTGCAGAAGTTAGGAAAAGATTTCCATGAAACTGTGTGGCTGCTTTCCCTTTCTTTCTTTACCTCTGTGCACTCTTTCAGCCTTTACCATTACAACGACAAGTCTTTACAGGGCTCTGGTTTTTCAGCTCTCAAGAGGCAAGCCACGTGGAGAGGACATGATACAGTTCATCAATGTATGATGTTCATCCTGGTCTCAAAAGAATAGAAAGAACTCTTCAAAAAAAAATCCTCAGCTCTGAGTCCAAACTGCCGGCAACTTGTAATCGGCCAAACCTGGCTCCTTTCATCAGCCCTTCCTCTTCTGAAACGTGCTGCTTCTTGGGATATCTCTGCAGAGAAATTCAAGAGCTTGTTCCACCCAAAGGATCAGACGTAGTCGGGTGCCAAGAGGGCTGTGTTTCTGAGAAGTCTTTGTTTGGTGTGCTGGTGATACGTCAGTACGAGATACTGAATTGGGATTTCTTGGCTCATCTTATTCTTTGGGCACTTCAGCAAATACGTGGAGCACATCAACAGGGAGGAAAGCGGTCTGGCAACTTCAGCTGAAGTGTAATGTTGACGGAGAGTCATTTCGAGTAAGGCTGTAGTAATATCTGCTGCGTCTCTACGTGAGCTGTCTAGTTTTGTCCCATGCGGTAGCTGCGGCACTGCTCTCTGTAGGTATTTCAGTGTTGCCTCAACCCAGACAATAAGACAGCTCTGTATCAGCGGGTCACTTCACGTGGGTGATGATTCCTCACCGCGAGGACTGGGTCCTGCAGGTTATGAGTGGTAGTGTTTGCCGAAGGTAACGACAGCACTCCGGCACTTCAGGCTGGGTTTGGGGTGGCTCACAAAACCTGCACTGAATTGGGACCGTTTGGAGGAATGTCTCGGCTTCGGAGCCTGGAAGGGGCTGTAAAGTGGAGCCGGGCTTGCAGGAGAGCTCTGGGAGATGTTGTGGATGGTGGGAGCAGAGCTTGGTAGTTAGGGGATTTTCGGACGATGCAAGGCGAGTTTATTTGCATGTTGCGGTTCTGATGAGTGGCTGTTACAAAAACTTCCTTGCCTTTCTTGTATGCTGTGTCACATCTCGTTTCCTAGAAGGACCTGGTACTGGGTTTGCTTTTGATATTGAGTCTTCCAAATTTTATTCGTGATTCTTGACAAAATAGACCTCCTTTTGAAAGCGAGGGATGTTGGGGGAGAAATATGGGAAACCACAAAGGAAATGCCCCGTGTTTCCAGGCTTCAGTGCTTGCCTGGATCTGCCAGAGCATGTTTTCAGAAGACCAGGTGTTTAGGATCGCTTCTGAAGACAGCAAACAGATTCTTACAGTTTTGGCCAGGTCTGGGTAAGTAGCTTGAACAAAAGCAAAAGGCATGTTGAAAGTTCGCCGAAGTGGTGGTTGGCCCGTGGCCACAACAGTACTGCAAATGCCAAGACAGTTAAGAACCATCCATCAGAGACCTTGTTAATTTGGTAATTGGGTCACATTTTATGGGAACAGATCTTATCCTCGTTCATGGGATACAGCACAAAGTGCTTCTGGGTAACAAACTCTCGTTAGAGCTACAGTCTCCCAGGGTGGTTTCCCTGTTAACACTTCCATTGAGCATTCCTATACGTAACTGGACTTTTTTTTTTTCCCCCAAAAGGCATGTACAAATACAGTCTGGGTGCAGGTTAAGACATGCAATCAAGGAGGATTTTATGTCCTGTAGAATACATAGTCCGGGAAAAGGAGTAAATCAATACTACAGGTGTGTTACATTGGTTGAGTTGCTGCCTGCAGACCACACAATTGCAGCACAGGAAGAAAGTTGGACCTAGAGAAGAATGGAAGGAGACTTGAAAGAGGCTCTTTTCTAAAACCGTTGTCCTTGTGTCCCGTCATAACAGCACCTACCAGCCCTACTAAGGCCCTGTAATCCAGACCTACCTCTCGCAAATATTCGGTGAGCGGTAAGCCTGATTCTGCTTCTTCCAAGGCAGGCCAGCCAACGAAGGGAAGCACTGTCTTCACGTTATGGCTAGGAAAGAAGTGATGGGCCCAGAGTCACCTTGAGAGCCTCTGAGAAGGCACTGAACATCAAATCATCAAATCTTGGCTAAGTGCTTTTATCACAGGACCCTTCTTCCCTTAGGAAAGCATGTTCTCTGACAACAACGCCTTCCTTTTGTCCTGGCGTGCCTTGAATTTATTTGGAAGCGGATCGTTCGGTGAGAGATGTAACACTAACATGCCTTTGGCTTACTTGTGCTCATGTTTGCTGCTATTTACAACTTCAGCAAGGCAGAGGAGTGTGTTGAAAGCCTCCTTTTGATGGCAGACGGTTGGCAAATGATCTGTGCTTCACATCCCTTCCTAGGGCAAAAGACTGGATCTCTTTGGAGCAGGAAGCACCTTCAGGAATGCGAAAAGCATAAATAAATAGGGCAATGGTGCCGATGTGTGAGTTCACTGAGTAGTTGGATGTCCTTGGTCCCTATGCACCTTCTGGAGCTTCTAACGCCTTTGGTGAGCAGTAGGGCTCAGGCAGGCAGCTGAATTGCTTCTTCCTAGGAATAGGGTATGAAGAATTTGAAATCCATACCTAATCTCTAGAATTCACTTGGCTGTGTCTCTGAAACTGCATGCAAGTGTCAGTTGGTTCTGTTGGGTTGTATTGGCGGATAGTGAGTTTTCGCTGAGAGCCCAAGCTCTCATTTAATTGAAAGCAAACATGCAGCAAAGTTTCTAAACCCTGTGCAAGAATCTTCTTGTTTTTTCCATAGAGAGTCTTTGGAGTTTTTTGGGTTGCTTTTTGCAGCTTGTCGTATGTGCATGCTGGGAAGTTCTAGGCTTTCCTTGTCTGACACCGGCAGGAAAAACACATGACCAAAAAAGGCTTTTGGGGATACAACAATCAAAGGCATTTCTGACATTTTAAAGTGGTTCTTTTGCCTTCAGTGACACAAAAAGGGTCTGTTTGGGGGTTTTGTGAGTCCTTACTGACTGCGCTCTACTGCCAAGAAGAGCAGACTGCATCTACGCTGGTGGTCACTGCAGGGTGGACACAGATTCACAAGTTGGGATATTTTGGATCAAGAAAGCCTCCGGGATACCTAGCTAAGGAGTTGTGCTGATAGTGTAAAGAAGCTTAACTTGGAATGGAGGCAACTGTCACTTGTCCAATTGCTGACTCCGAAACTGCCAAAAAAGCTGACGTCTGCTACTAAACAGTGCTGCATCCCTGTATGAGAGATGTCTTTCTGTTAGTCTGAAGGAGCCATGCCCTCTAGCACAGGGCAGCTGAGTGCTTTGGGCATCTCCTTTTGTGCTTTATTTTACCAGCCAGCACGTCGAGGGCACAGTTTAACGGATGCTGCTACTGTGCAGTCCAGTTCTGCTGCCCAGTTTGGAGCTACAGAGGCGATGCAAGCTTCCAGAGAAGAAAATGGGAAGGAAATGAAGATCGATCAATGCCCTTTGTGTTTAGCTTGACCTTGAGGGCTCACGGGATAAATGACCTTGATTATCTCTCTGCTTTTCATCCCTGAACTGCTCAAAGGCGTTGGGGGTGAGGGGAGGGTCTGTGAACTGAGCCTTTGTAGGTCTGTAATGGGGTTGGGATGTGGGGACCGAGCTCTGGAAAGAAGGGAGCTTTTGAGCCTCAGGCCAAGTGGCAAAACCCACGGTTTGGTCTGCTGCCTTCTGTGCTGCACAAAGGCTCTCCGCTCCAGCTGCTGGCGTGAATGGCAGAAGGGATTCACGTGCCAGCTCCTCTCGGAGAAGAGGCATTGTCATCAGAGTCGCTGGCTGGGATCTGAATTTCGCAGCCAGTTTTCATTTCCATCTAGTGAGTTCTGCTCATACCCTAGATTGCAAATATTTGCCAAACTTTGAAGTCTCTGCCCATAGGACAGCTGGAGTTGGCGCGGCAGGCCAGGTCAGAACTATACCCACCAGATGGACCAGGGAGAGTTAAACCCTGTCTCTCTAAATAGCCAGGAGTGTCACTCATCAGTTCCCGGTTGGGTTCTGTCGCCAAGACCTTGTTGTCAAGGTGCAACACTACTACTGAGGATCCAGATGCAGATTTTCACACCTCAGGTCTGTTTGTCAGTCTTTCGCTGGTTTTGTTCCGCTGTTAATGTGGGATGATGGTAATACTGTGGATGCTGTCTCTGCCTGTTCACACTCAGTTGGTTGTTGCCACCGAATTGGCATTAACTGGAAATCGCTTCGATGCCAGACAAAGCATCCGAGAAGGGCTGTGTGAGCACAAACTGGAATTGCTGATTCTACATTGACAAAGCCCTCTTAGCATCTGGGATGGAGTAAATAGGAATACGGCCGTCTGTCAGGGCAGTGTTCTAGGGAGGACTGCATGACATGTGGCGACTGTGGCTTGGATGTGGCTAAGAGCATTGCCATCTAATCGTAAGTCCTGCCTCTAATAAAGGCAGGTCTGGAGGAGGGGCACGCGGTGGCTGTCGTAGCCCGCTGCTGTTAATGTGTCGGTGGGCTCTTCAAGGCTTAGCACACTGAGGTCTCATTGCCAAGTTCCAGCTTGACCTGGTCTTGTTGTGGGGCTGCTGCCATGTGCTCTATCACGGCTCGTTGGACAGTCAGCCTTTAACTTGCTTGTGCACAAGACAAGCCTCTCGCACGCCAAAAGTCGTGGCTGTTAAAATCCCCAAGATAATGTGGAAATAGCAAAATCCGCGGCAGTAGTTACATAAAGGCAGCCATGCCTCTGAGCAACACGAGGGCATCCCAGGGTGGCAGCGAGCATCCCGTCACGGAGAGAGGCTGCTGTGCTTCTCACGGTGCTCTGTGTGCCCTTCACCAGGCACCCCACAGCCCTGCAGATAGATACACAGCCCCGGGCTCACGGAATTTGATGTCCTCTGCTGTCAGGCTTTTTGGGAGAGTGAGTTATAGTAAAGTCAGCAGAGTTTTCCCAGATGGACTTTCCTGAGACCTTGCAGTGCATAGTACAATGTAGTATTCAAGAGGAGGTACCAGGGAGGAGGTCGTTCCTCACCTTACCTGAGGAGCCAGGTCTCCGTCTTGCACGTGCGAGGCAGGATGGAGAAGCAGCTGGATCCCCTCGGCCAGAGGAGAACTCGGCCACCTTGGTGCTGCTCCAAGCGCTTGTCTGGACTAGAAGAATTTACACAAATAAATAAAATTACACTGCTGTAAACCCTGTGCAGATGTAGCATGATGCTGGGAACCTTAGCGAGTGAGAAGTGCAGAGAAGTGAGGTTAGCACACACCCTGGTGTGCACATCCCGCTGACACAGCCCTGTTCTGCCGCTGCTCCAGAGCCCCCTAAGGCAGACCGAGCCTTTCGCCACCGCTTGCGTTTGAGGGCCAGATCTCAACCTCTCTCTGAAATCGAGAGGTAGACAGTACCTACAGCCCAGAAAAAAACTCAACAGGAGAGGATTTTGTGGAGCTGATATCCAATACCATCCAGATATATCTGGTCTTTCCCTGCATCGCTACGGGAGCTGTACCCTGCTGCAGAAAGAGAGCAGAAATAGGGGCAGTGCCGCTTCTGAGAGCCCCAGAGCCCCTGCCACGGTCCAGCTCTTCCTTCCATTTAACCTCTTTTAGTTTTTTAGCCTTCCTAATTCCCCGCTCCGTGAAATGGCTTTTCTGTCTGACCTGGTCCGCTGCTTATACCACCTTGAGTCTCCTGCATCTCGCTGTCACGGTTGCTTTGGCAACAAATTGAGAGAGGCCGGGAGCAGCTCAGCACGGTAAAGAACGAGAAATTTGCCCGGATTTACGAATCTCTCTCTGACCCAGCTCGTCCATCAAGTAACGGGCTTCCAGCCATGTCTCCCCAGCTCAGGGGGGGCTGCTGCTAAGAGCATTTAAAATGTAATTAACCTGGCTCTCGGAGGTTAGTGTGGCCTTCTGAGGAAGGAGGCTGGGCTTTCCCAGGTTGATGGAGCTCTTGGAACAGGCTGATAAAGGCACCCAGCTGTATTCCTTTGAGCCTGGAGGGCACCACTGGAGAGGGGAAAGCATCAACCCTTTCAGTACAGTTCATAGGGTTTGCAAATATCAGGCAGTATATTGGTTTGGGTGATTTTTTTATTTTTTTTTTTCTAAACTAATTAGATGATAGCGAGTAACGTTCTGCATAGAAAACTGTTCACTGTAAACCAGAGTGACGTCAGAACCTCATCCAGCTGAGAGGGTAAGTAGTGTAGGACGTGGAAGGGATGGCAGAGGAGGAATTACTCACCTCCTCTGTGTGAGGTTGTCTGGGAAGCAGAGCGGGCTGGAAGCTTGCGAGGTACAGAGTCAGTTCTTGGCTGAGTAACCTTGGCCAAGGAGCATCCATCCCTTCCCCTGCTGTAGAAGTGTGGCCAGCACGAGCAGCATCTGAGCGAACAGAGGGCGCGTGGTGCAGCTTAACGGGGTACGTGGTGTCCCGGAGGCAGCTGGACACTGAAGGCCAGTGCTGGGTTTCCATTCTGTCACGCTTACGGTCTGGTTTGCCTTCCTTCCTCAGAAGAAACGATGAGGTGACGCACATTAAGATCCAGAACACAGGGGATTACTATGACCTGTACGGAGGTGAGAAGTTTGCCACCCTTGCAGAGCTGGTACAGTACTACACGGAGCAGCAGGGACTGCTGCGGGAGAAGAACAGCAATGTCATCGAGCTGAAGTATCCTCTCAACTGCCAGGACCCCACCTCGGAGAGGTAAGCCATGCTCTCTAACAGCCTCTGTCTTGGTGGTGGTGATGCTGTCTTCCCAGATAGCTCAACCTGGCCGGCCTCACCTGGCCTGGTTTGGGAAAGGAGCCCAAACCGGAGTGTGTTTGGGTTTCGTGACCCAAAAGCTGCACGTCTCTGGGATATGGTTCTCCAGCTGCTCTGCCTGCAGACGTGACCAGAAGCTGGCTAGGTAACATCCACAAGGCCCAGAAGCTGGTACTTGCTCAGCGTCAACATGTGCTAATAAGCTTTCTCTAGCTTTTAGGCAACTGGAAACACAGAATCGTAGAGTCATAGAATAGTTTGGGTCAGAAGGGACCTTTAAAGGTCACCCAATCCAACCCCCCCTTGCAATAAGCAGGGACATCTTCAACTAGATCAGGTTGCTCAGAGCCCCGTCCCACGTGAGCAGTATGAGTCCATCTGCAAAGGGTCCTGCAGGCATATCCTAGGAAGCACACAACTTTGGTTTTCAAAGAAACCAAACACCTGCAAGTGACTTGTCTGCCTGCAGAACGCTGGGTAGAAACGCTCCGTAAAGAGTCTTCCTCCATCCTATCTCAGCCTGTGTCATCCTAGTAGCAACACACTGTTATCTTGGAGGGATGGGGATGGCTGACTCCCTATGAGAAGCAGCTTGCCTCGGGCTGCTTCAGGATATTTCCACCAGCCGATTAGTGACCTTCTTTCTTCCCCTTCATCTGTGACACTCCAGTGACCCTTTTTTTCCTTCTCCTCCCCCTCAGTTTCCCCAGTGTCATATGCAGCAGCTGACACGGTGGGTTGGAAAGGGGAATGCCTAGTCAGGCGGCTGGCGATGCCAAAGCGGGCCCCTAATTACTCTAATTTTAGCAACCGGGGTAAGGCGAAGCCGTGACTAGTCTCGGTTCCTGAAATGGAGTGGAGGCACTCCTCTCCACGCCGTCATGTGAGCTGACTGGGCCGCGGCGCTGGGAAGTCCCTCCAGCTCATGTCCTCCCTTGTTGCCAGAGAGGTTTCTTTGCTCGTTCCAGATCGCGGTGTGAAAAGCGGCCAGGCAGTCGCTCATGTTAGCAGAAACTCTGGAAAAGTGGAAACCCCCTTCAGCTGGGTTTCCCCCTCTTCTCCCGCCAAGGAAAGTCTGGCTTGGCGAGGAAGACTGCTGCTCCAGACCACCCATCTGATGGCATCAAGGAGAAGAGAGGGAAAAGGATCCAAGTCCTCTAAATATATGAAATGGTGATGCTGTCAGAATATAGCGGGATGTATCAGGGTAGCAGGGTTTCCAAGACCTGGCCCTGAATAGCAGCGATGCTGTAAGCAGGCACGGGGATGTTTCACCAGAGGTTGGCCATTCTGCCCTCTGCAGCAGTATGGCCCGTGTAGCCCCCTGATCCCAATGCCTTCGCAAGCCCGCAGGAACGAGTCTGGCACTTTGGGGGTCTTCCCAGTTGAGCTGGAAACGGCTGCCTTTGCAGCGTGCTGAGTCGGGACTCGAAAGGCCCGGCATCACTGAGTGCTGTTCTATAAACTTCGTCCTCTGGGACAAAGTTGCTGAGATGTGACGTGATGCCATTGCATAGCCCCTGGAAGGTTATTTTGAGCCTCTCTGAATTCCTGACAGCTTGGCTGGCGGGCCCAGGAGCCAGCATCTTCAAAGCGGGACCTGTGGCATGTGCCCAGAGCCACTGCTGAGTGTTGATGGAGCGTGGGGATTGAAGGTTCTGAGGCAAAAAGAAACTCTGCTTCCCTCCAAACTTATTTCTGTCTGTGGAAGGCTGTAGCAGAGTGCTAGCCCGTGAGGCATGCCTGCCCTGGATAGCTGCTGTGTGGGTAGGCGAGACGTGCTGCCTTGTTAAGCCAGGTGAGCTGCCTAGCCAGAGCACGGTATCGCTGCAGAGGAGATGCCCAGGAACGGGCAGATTATTGTGTGTGTAACCCCAAGGCATTGCGGCAAGGGTTGTTGCCCGTGCTACAGGCTTCTGGCCAAGCTGGTTCAAAGATAGCCTGCGTTACACTGGGACTGCAGTGTAAGTATGTCAGCAGACCAAGAGAAAGGATTAGGAGAGATTAGATGGAGAAACAGGGGCACATGCGTGCAAGATGTACACAGACGGAGAGGTGGTGCAACTCCTGCCCGCACAGTGAGGCTTGGGAAGAGATGAACACAAAGCCCTGCACGTTGTAATCGCCGCTGCCCAGAGATGTGGCTGCAGGCAGGGCTGGAGGGGGAGAAACCTCCTGGGCACAGTGGGGAACCCGGTTTTGGCAACCAGGGGAGCGTGCAGGGCACTTCTCTTCTTCCTCAGCCCAACCTGAGCTGAGGATGGTGACCTGGGAGGGCAGCAGCAGGGACTCCACCTAGGAGGAGCCTGGTGAAAACCCTTCCCAAACTGTGTTCCTGGTCAGTGTTGTCCATATGCTCATGTCCTACACTGTCTGACTACAGCCTGCTGACTCCAAGCGTTAAAAAAAAGAAAGGAAAATGTAGCCACCTTCAAGTAAGAGCTGCCAGAATCATCAGAGCCCCATCCCTAGATGACAGTGCTCGTCGTACATCACGTGGCAGTTTAATATACTGATGCCATTTCACATTTGACTGGAAGATTGAGCAAAGCCCTGACATTTCCAGCCTCAGGCTAAGGTATTGATGTGACATTGCGAAGCGTTGGAGGAAAGTCACTGGGGACTGTTTCTAAAATAACTCAAGCCGGTGTCGTGCCAGCGGGTCGAGCCGTCAGACTGGGAGCCTAGCAATGGGTTTCCCATGAAAACCATCCCCAACAGTGAGTGTAGCTCTTGTCTAAAGGCAATGCTCTGTACATTTCTGAGCTGACCTTGCTCTCCATTGCCGCTTCCTAGGTGGTACCACGGGCATCTCACCGGCAAGGAGGCAGAGAAGCTTCTGACAGAGAAGGGGAAACCAGGTAGTTTTCTGGTGCGAGAAAGCCAGAGCAAACCAGGAGACTTTGTATTGTCGGTGCTGACAAATGAGGATAAGATGGAAACTGGGGACCGGAAACCACACGTGACGCACGTGATGATCCACTACCAGGTGGGAAATGTGCCGTCCATCCTCACCCTGCGATAGGTGCTGGGTGGGTGACCCAGCTGGGAGCTGTGCATTCGAATCTCACCGTGGTTTTGTCTTTCTGTCCTGCAGCCAGACGGGAAGTATGACGTGGGAGGAGGCGAGAGGTTTGACACGCTCACAGACTTGGTGGAGCACTATAAGAAAAACCCCATGGTGGAGAAATCTGGAGCTGTGGTTCATCTGAAGCAGGTAATAGCTACCCTAGCACATATTTGTTGGTTCTGGGCTTGCCCAGATTCCTAGGGGAGTGCACAGATCTGCTCCTGCTCTTTGGGAAATCCCTGACCCCAGAACATCCCGCTGGCTCCTTGTCATGCTTGTCCAGGCTCATACTTGCCTGGTCCTGCACTCAAGGCCTCAGGAATGGACCCAACTCCTGCCAAAACCCCCAGGGATTCGGGAACTGTTTTGGTTTGTGTTTTTTTTTCAAGGGGGAAGTTATCTGTCTTTCTGTTATTGAAAGTGATTTCTATTCCGTTTTCATCTGCCTTTCAGCCGTTCAACGCCACGCGCATCAACGCAGCTAACATTGAAAACAGAGTGAAGGAGCTGAACAAAATGGCAGACCACAGTGAGAAGGCCAAGCAAGGCTTCTGGGAAGAGTTTGAGGTACAGGATGCTCCTGTGCTGTGCCTGTGGGTGAAGGATAACATATTTGCATGGGAGCATCATGGTTTTCCAGCACTGAGGACCTCTTCTC